GCCCCAGTCCCCCCCCCCTCGCTGGCAGGCGGCCTTGCGACCGCCTCTCCAGGTCCGCGGGGCGGGACTGTCCCACACCAGCTCTCTGAGGCCACCGGGAGGCTCCTCCCCGCCCATCCAGCTCCAGCCAGGACGGCCCCTCCTTGACCCTCACTGGACCAATCCAGTGCGAGCCGAGCACATCTGTGTCTGCTGCTGAGGACCCGCCCACCTGACTCGGACTGGGACACGGGTGCCCTCAGCCAGCCCACCCACCAGGCGGGGCTCCTGCTCAGGCGAACCTCGGCCACAGCCCCCCTCCCTGGCGGAGTCCGCCTCACCCCTGCAGCGGAGGCTCCACCTGCTGCAGCCTGCCCCAACTGCTACTACTGCTGCTGTCCTCCCCTGCTCCCCGCCCACGCCACCTTCCTCTGGGGCTCCCTGAACCTGCATGTGAGGAACCCACACGGCACACACAGGCACCTGCGACGCACCAAGGTCGGAGCCGGCCACAACCTCCCCGACTCCGCTTGCATGGTGCCGGGAAGCACCTAGGAGACCCGAGTGGCAGTAGGGCGGCCCACGGGAGGGCAGTAGGGTGGCCCACAGGAGGGCAGCTTACCGGCCCGCGCAGCGATCAGGTGCGTGGCCCTGTCAGGTGCGTCTGGGCTGAGCACCAGCTGGGTCAGGATCTTGGCCCCCAGGGCGGTGGCGTGATAGTGCTCCCGGGTCTTCTCGACCGGGAAGTTGGTGGGGTGCAGCCCGCTGAAGAGGATGGCCACGTCGGCCAGCACCTTGCTCCTGAGTTCCGGAACGATGCGGCGGATGTCGGGGGCCTCGCCGAGCTCCCCGCGCAGGTAGCTGTCGTACCTGGCGTAGTAATGGCTGTGCACGCGCACAAGGATCTCCTCAAGGTGCACCAGGTGGTCGTCCTCGTCCACGTCCTCCTCCTCCTCCTCCACGCTCTGGTCCAGGGACTCGCCTGCGGTGACGCCTGACTGCTCGCTGTTCTGCGACTCGGTCTCGGCCTCCTTCCTGTCGGCGTAGCCGTTGCCCAGGCCGCAGGGGCTGTCCCGCTCGCCCTCCTCCCGTCCGTCTGGCTCGGTGCCCACCTCTGGGGCCGGGATCCCTCCGGCAGCTGCGTCCGGGGGCCCCCCCTGCGGCAGACTGGGCGCTCCATCGGCAGCAGGCCCCAGCTGTCTCCGTGCTCTCTGCTCCTCGCCATCCCTGTCAGACGTGGAGGACTTCTCACTGCACTCGCTGTCGCTGGACAGGTCGAAGTCCAGATCGGGGCCCTGGGTGGGCCGCCTGCCTGGGGCTGTCTGAGCACCCTGTTCACAGGGGCCCGAGGGCACCGATGCACCTGCCGGCTCCTGGCTGGGGGCCTGCACAGGAGGCCAGGCGTCCCTCTCCTCTGCCTTGCTGGGGTGGCCCAAGTCCCACTGGGGAGAGGCCACAGGCCCCACCTCACCACCATTCAGCTCCCTTGTGTCCCTCACAGGCTTCCCGAGGCTGCTGCCCAGCTCGGCCCCAGGCCCACGCTTGGCTCCTTCGGGGCCTTTAGCAGGCAGGGTTTGTTCGGAGACATCGGCACCTACAGGAGAGAGGAGGGTGAGTCCCCACACCTGCCCGTCAAACGGCCTGCGCCACGGCCGCAGGCCTGCCCGTCCTCCCGACCAGGCGTGGCCAACCTCCGCTGGGAGAGCCAGACAGTCAAGGCCTCAGGTCTGCGGACGCATCTGGCCTCTGCTGCGACAGCCTTTGGCCATTAAGGAAGCGCCTCACAGGCCAGACCTGGAGACCCGCACGGCCCCGCTCCCTCTCTCTACGCTCTACTCTCAGGACCACATCAGCACCCACATTCCTCAAAGCCGAAGATCGGAAGTGCTCAGAACCAAGATGCTGGCATCCCCGAGCCTGATGCGTGTCTGAGGGCTGGGTCAGGGGCGCGCCCACTTGTGGGGCTGCCGCATCCATGCTTGCTCTCGCCAACCAAGGCCCAGGCCACCTCCCAGCGTGGCGTTTAAGGGGAGCTGGGATGAGAGCGCAGGACTCCTCGGTGTCTGTGGACGCTGCGCCCCCAGTGCGGTGGTGGCTGGCTGCGTGCACCCATGGACACTTCCAGGTGACCTGGAACACCGAGTGCAACGTGACACAGCTGTCACCGCGCTGCGTGGGCAAGGACAGGAGATGCAGCCCAACACACTCAATGTAGACGTGTTGGCGCAGCCCAACCTCGCGGCAGGGCAGGATAAAGGTTTCAATCCACGCAAGGATGCAGAGCCAGAATGGGCGGGCCCGGATGGGGCTGACTGTGCCGGGGGGATGAGGCGAGCTCGAACAGTGCCCTGACCTTGACGACACTCAAAAGCGCATAGGTCAGCGCAGATACCCCAACTACCCCAACGAAACCGAATTCTAGAACTGCACCTGGCTTTCCAGGATCCCGTAGGTAAGAGCCTACGGTCTCCACCACTGCTGGGACGCCAGCAAAGCACAGAAGCCAAGTGGCACCTCAGTGTACAGCAGCCGAGGCAGAGGGGAGGCGTGTGGGGAGGACAGCGCGGGCACTCATCACCCCTGCGGGGCCGGGGGCAGGGGGCCCACCTTTCCTCCTTGGTGGACCTTCCCGGGACCCAGGGGGGGCGTTCAGGTCACCCGTGCCCTGGAAGTACACGTATTTCTTCACGGTTATCAGGTTGGGTGCAAATTTCCAGACATCCTCTCGGTCATCAATAATGCAGACCATCGAGTCTCCACAAGGAAAGAGGTTTCTACGAGGAGAATTGCAGTTAGCCACCGCACCCGGCCCCTCGGGGTCTGCCAGCTCGCGCTCATAGAGCACCTCTCACCCCCAGCTCTAAAGCGCGGCTGGTAAGCTCTCTCTCGAAGGGCTGTGAGGCAGCAGGGAGAGCTCGCTACTCTGGGAAAGTTCTGCTTGGGTTCCCGGGGGCGGCACGCCCCAGCCAGCCTAGGGCACGCCTCCCGCATGGAACTGGCAGCTACACCGGCATCCTCCCGGAGGTGGGCGGTCACGTGACCACGTGGCTTCTCCCCGTGCCCCGCCCACCTGCTCCCTTTGGTTCCAGGTCACAAACAGAAAGCCTCTGCCCCTCCCGACACAGGCCGCGGTCTGAGTGCACTCGGCACATGCCAGCGGCCACGGAGGTTGGAGCTGCTACAGTGTGCCAGGCCAGGCACCCAGGGCTGGGACACGAGCCCTGCAGGTGGTCAGCGGGGACGGCCCCCTGGGTGGGGAGGGACGCGCCTCATAGGGAGCAAGCAGGGCGTTTATCTCCAAGACCCGGGGCAGTCTTTCCCGCAGGAGCGGCAGGATCTTGGCGATGGTGCCCAGGAAGCTGCCTGACATGCTGTGCTGCAGCCCACCCAAGGGCTCAGGTCAAGCCCGCTGCTCCGACTTCATGGGGAGGCCACGGCTGGTGGCATACCACTAGGCTGGCGGCTGGCTGGGCCCGTGTCGAGCGCCATGGAGGTTCCCACCCGGACGACTCTCTCCCCTGGCCCCTGAACGTCTGGGATCTGGGCAGCAGGTCCCAGGTCCCAGGTTCCCGGCCATGCCCTGGATATTCAAGGAAAGGCCAACAGGCTGCACTGGGACAAGTGGGACACACGCCTCCCGCCTCCCCAGCAGCGACATTAACAGAGGCCTGTGCGGGGTCGGGAATCTGCAGCCCAGGGGCCAGAGCCTCACCCGTGCGGCTTTGGTTAGGGAACGACTAGACTGCAAGCACACGCGGAATGCCGGGTGGCCGCCTGTCACCGAGCCGCACTGCCCAGCAGCAGGTAGGGCAGGGGGATGGCGATGGCCACTGCCTGGGAGAACCAGAGCCCAGAGGGCAGCCTGAGAGGGGCAGGAGACTGTGAAGACAGAGCGGGTGCTGGTGACTCAGGCCCGCACCGGCCTGGGCACTGCGCGAGGCGCTGAGGACAGGGAGTTCTGGAGAACGGGGGCCGCACCAGACAGCGGCAGGGGGGACGGAGGGCCGAGGCACTCTCTCGGG